TCAATCTTTATTCGATATCAGTCTTGGATACAGCGACGCAAAGACCGCTTCAATTTAGAATCGACAGTTTCGTGAAATTTGAATATTGAAATCGGTCTGCTACGGGATCAAAGACAGCATTTTGGTAAAGTTACCTTCAATCGTAGCCAGCAACAACTTTAGCGGTAAGGAGTGATCGCGGGTACTGCAGAACAGCGAGAGGCCATGGGTTTTTGGTTCAACTTGACTTGATGAAATTTTCCCCTTGGGCGGAAGTGCAGAAAATATGAATTCCTTAATCACCCAGGATACCGAGTGTGTGCTGAAAATCACGCTATGACGTCAGTGTGACTTGGCTCATTCCCAGTGCCTCTCTCCCCTGCGCTTCTCTCTCGCGTGTTGTTTTTCTCGCACTAATTGGTTGTTATAATTATGAATGGTCCCGTGCTACAATTATTGCTGAACTAATAATGAATGCTAGAGGGAATTTCGTTCTCCTGATCGGAGGTTACCTCTGGAGTCCCTCAGGGCTCCTTGTTGGGGCCCCCCCTTTTTTTTGTTATTTTTAGAAGTGATCTGCCAACTGCTGTTCTTCCTGGCAACACAGTTGCACTCTATGCTGATGGTCGCAAACGCTTAAGGATTGCAGTTGACTCAGCGGTAGATTTGGAATTGTTTCAGCAGGATTTGGACAACCTTCATGGTTGGAGTTCTCTAAACTGTGAGGAGTTAAACGTCAAGAAATACAAAATTCATACGATCACAATTAAGAAACAGCTCTATGTATCAAGTTTCTGTTTGAACAGAAATATTCTAAAGGAGGTCGGGAAATTTTAGGGTTTGGTATAACTACAGAAAAGCCACGCTCAACCAGTGTGGTTTGCGTGCCATTGTCATTGTTATTACCCGGGAACTCGATACTTTTTCTAACACACCGGCGATAGCTTCAATTCCAAGTTAAAACGAACCTGTGATCGCACGTCTTCTTGTTAAAAGTTAATCACGACGGAAGAACAACAGAAGCTACCAAGCTGAGAGTTCAAAGTGATTTGATTACATTCGCGCTCATACTCAGGAGAACTCTTACATACAAATCAATTGTTTTGGTTAATCTCTAGAATGATCGTAGCAAGATTGTCACCTGAGGGGCTCATTATTTAAGTGAAACTGTGATGCTCGATGACAATTCAAATGGAGCAAAACATTTTGTGGGCATATTTTTGAATGACAAATTGTAAACAGTAATTAATTGAACTGTCCTTGAATGTTTGATGAACAGATTCGTATGATGAGTAAAATAGAATATTTTTCAGTAGCTTGAAAAGGATACTTACTTGCTTGCTTTGAATTATAACTGGTTTTCACCCCAACAAAATTTTCTTGGAAAAGAACCCGGCCTTACCCTTAAATAATATACATGTTTTTGTTTTCGCCAGATTGACCTCACAAGCTATGCGTTTCAGTGTGATAGATCATAAAACGTAGACTGGAATGTGGATGGTTCGATGTGGACTGCCATATCAGAAGTATTTTTTTTACCTCGTGGATTATTGTAGATAGCTTTCAACTACACTCTGAATCGTTTATATTTAGGGGGTGAAAGAGTAGGAGGGAACTAGCTGGGGCAGAGGTAAAGGGCTTTATATGATTTTAACCGTAAAGTTTTTCTGGAGGAAGATGTGATTTTAACCGTTTAAAGTTTTCGTGGCGGAAGATGTGGCAAAGAACTTAAACTGGCTCGATCTTGTCCCCTAATAAGTCCGCTTGGTCAAGCTGAGGGAGTTTCCGAATAGCCTAATAGCCTGACTAAATGAAAAACGTCCAACAAACAATACAGTTACTGAACACTAAGGTTGACTTAAAAGATCTGAGCCGGTATATTTGGTATTCAGTTTCAGAAATTTAGGTCTAACTGAGGCTGATGGTCAGT